TCTTTTTAAAATTTGCTTTTAATGATCTGTTTTTACTTTTAGGGAAGATGCTCAGCTGAGTAGTTTCTGTCTTTTGCCTATAGCCTGTTTTATTGGCCACTTAGTTTTTATGTGTAGAAAATGCTTTGTTAATGCTGTATTTCAATATTTGGTTAATATGTAATAGGACTGAATAATACAAATTATCTTTTTGGATAGATAGTATTCCTGGTAGTATCTGTTTGGTTCTGCAAACACGCAAAGTATATGTGTTTGCATATCTGTTATATGTTGAATGTCTTTCCCGCATTGGTATTTCGTTCTCCTGATGGCTGCATAGCAGGCACTGAAGTGGCTGTATGCAGCCTGCCGCCCCCAGCTGGACAGCTGCAGCAACCTAACTGGTGGCAGCCACCTCCCACCCATAGATCTAGAGCCACCACTTTGGGATGAGGATGGGCCTCGGGCCTTGCTCATGAACAGCACATGCTGTGCCTCTGAGTTACACCCCACCCTTAGTGCTGTGGGTCCTGGGAAACCTGTCACAGACCCGTGCTTCCGGGCGCCCCAGGAGCCTTTGTGTTTTGCTGTATACCCGCAGAGGTTCAGCCCTTGCCTCTGGTCATGGCTTCCTGCTTCTGGTGAAACTGCTGGCCTTCACCAAGCCTGGGCCTTGCTCGGTGCTTGCCACATGCTCAGGGCTCCCCGGGCTGCACTCCTAGCCGAAACAGCTTAGCACACCTCAGACCCGTTTTCTCATTAGAGCAGTGCCCAGTGTGTCCTAGGTTGTCCTATTTATGTGGCTTAACTCCCCCACAGAATGAAGGCCCTACTGGGTGTTGACTGTGACTCAGCCTGTTACTGCAAAGTCACTGATACAGTGCACTTTGTTCAGTGGGCAGGTGTTTTCTGCTGATGTATTCAGTTTTCTGTTGATGGGTAAAGGGTAGTAAGTTCTACCTTTTCCTATATAAGACTCTGTCACTAAAGACCTTCTAATATAAGCCTAAGTGTTCCTGCAGAATACATTTCTGTTATGATGGAGTCATTGCGAGATATTTGTCTTGTATTAAGTGCATAACTTGTCCTCCAGAGCGTTCCTGCCAGTTTAATAACATCCTCAGCTGGATTACTGCTTGTCACTGCTCGCTGATCTGAGAAGCAAAGGTACATAGGCTTAAGTATCTTTTGTGTGACTGCTCGCTTTGGGTTTTGTTTGAAATGCTGTTTGTGTGTAGTACAGCTTTTGAAATGTCTTGACGTCCTGCAGAGGTGCTGATCTGCACCTTCTGGGCACTGTGCGCTCTCCCGTCCCTCTCCTAGAAGCGGCACGCCTGGCCGGTCGGTCGTGCTGCAGCTATTTGGTGTCAGGTAGAGTGGTGACATTTCTTCTCTGCTTCCTGCTCTCACCCTTTCTCTTCAAACTTGAAAACAATGTTTCAGTCCTACAGAAATGTGATCAGGGTTTTTTTTGGGAGTGTGTTGGGTTTATAAAATGGTTAGATGAAACTGACATCTCTAGACAGTGCACCATGTTTCTAGTCAGAAACCAGAGGTCTCCATTTATTCTTGCCTCTATTTTGTAAGTGTATTCTTCTGTAGACAAGTAGTTTTTATATGCAATTGTAGTGGCTACTTTCACTAGAAATGTGAAGTATTTCTTTTTAGCCTTATCAGACTGTAAGAATTCACTTAAAATAGATGTAGAAGTGTCTCCAAAATGTTAACTGGTGTCTCAAAGATTAAAACCACTTAGGAGCTCCAGAGCCAGGGTTTCCAACTCCAAGCTGTAGCAGAAACAGCCTGTCCCGCTCTACAGCAGACTTGATGCTTCAGCGCCTTCCTTACCTGCTGGCATGGCCACCTTCAGGGTAGGGAATAGCTCATCCTCCCCCTTGACTTGAGATAGGAAAGTGTGGCTGATCTGCAGAAATGTATATAAGATACTGTTGCTTCCTTTTGACAGTACTATGTCGTTTTACTCTTGTTTGGACTATCTGAGGTAGTGGTGATAACTACCATCTTATTTTCATTGTTACTTTTGCTAAACTACATTTTGCAGTTATAAAGCAGTTTTGTCCTATTTGTTTCTATTTTTTAAACAAAATGAACCACACCACTGAGGCGTTGGAGCCTGCTTGCTCCCTTCCCAGGCCGCCTTGCTGGGCAGCTGGTGTGTGGTTTCTGTAGTCTTGCACTGCATAAACCAAAGAAAGCATTATTTACTTGGTATAGCCTGAGTGATTACAAAAATGTCTGTAGAGGAAGCCTCTTCATACTCAGCATAGGCTGTGAGACTGCATTGGTGCTGAACACCTAGTACTTCTGGTTGCCTCTGCTAACAGGCAGCTGCAGGCTGGAGAATGTCTGCTTTTTGTGTTAATGGAGATGGAGAGGAAGATAGTTTTGAACCCCTCAACCAGTACTGTGCTATTTTGGGGTTGTGTCATTGACCAAAGATTGTGAAGTTACACATTGATAAGACAAACAGTAAATTACAGATACAAGGGTCCTACCACAATCAGGTAATAAACTACATTCAGAGGTGTCCAGTTGACCGAACGTGCTAATGTAATGGGCTGCTTCTGTGCGGTGTATACATGTATACCCTAAAAATCATGAATCACCACAACGCTCAGGCTAGCCAGCCGTATGCACTGCAGAAATAAGTGCAAGCGTCCAGACGAGCCGGGAGTCAGTATTTTGTGTCTTTGTCTTTCCCTTTTATATGCTAAGGGAGGTGCCTTGGTTTCTGTTAAACTTTTTACTTTCACTCTCTAATCTTCATGGTTATACTAATTTAAAATCTTTATCTCCTCACTCTTACCCCTGTTTTTAACATTTTTCTGTTTCCATAGAGTCAGTTTTTCTGTTGGCATTTCTCAAGCATTTTCCATTTGTGCGGACGATTTTCCTGATGAGGTTGTGAGGCCTGCCCCTGGACCTTCGGGCAGGTGTGTTGGAGGCTCGGTGTGGAAGGATGCGAGAAACTGAGTCTTAGGGAAACCAGTCTACCTTCTCTGGACAGTCTCTTCAGTGTCTTCAGTGAATATCATTCAGATTTTGTATATATTCAGGTCTATCTGCAGAAAAGTGCAGGAGTGAGTCTGCTCTGGCCTGTGTAGATCCCTGGTTTTCACAGTTTTTATCCTTGATCAGCCTCAGAGTTGCGAGGACAATCTCCCCCCACACAAGTGGGGATTGAACTCAGGCCCTTGCGCTTGCCAGGCAGGTGCTTACTCTACTCGGCTATCTCCCCAGCTTCCAAGGACAAATTTTTAAGGGTTGCAGAACTCTCCATCATACACGTGGATGTTGTACATTGGAAGCACGAGCTTTCGTTTCTGTAAAATCATTGTAAACGGTGTCCTGGTTACTAGCTCAGCCCTCAGATTTTACCCGGCAACATGGCTATAAGATTTCTGCTTTGCATCAACAGGAACATGGTAGTGTGTTTTCTCCTTGAAGCCAGACGTGTGGCACGTAGACAAGGCTGCTTGCTAGTATCTTTGCCTGTGGCATTGCCCAGAGGAGGAGCCAGCCCAGCAGAGCACACACTTTTGTCTCCTTTCCCAGAACACACTGGGCTGAGTTCCTTGACAGCTGGGTAGGAGAGCAGCCCCTGCAGGGGACACAGAGCTGTGCAGCAGGCCCCCCGGGGTGGGGTGGAGAGACTGCTGGCCCACACAGCTGCTCCCTGATCGCGGAAGCTCCTGCGCTTCGTAGGCCCTGTGAGGGAGGGCCTGGCACATCAGCCTGCCTGGGGTTACCTTCCATGTGTGAGGTTTTGCCTGAACAGTGATCCTCAACTCAGCCAGTGTTTAGGTCCTGGTAGATCCCTGTGGCTACAGTACCAGTATTCGAGCAATTTCAGTATGCTTCCATTAGAACGTAGTTTCCAACTTCATGAGCCATTTAGTTCCTGTGTGCGTTAGTAGAACGCTCACACCCAACCTGCTGCATGTCTCCACACCCCTGAGACGCTAATTTGTAGCAGGAGATGAACCTGCACGGGCACAGACCTTATAATGAGCTCTTTGGGGGCCGGGGCCCCTTGAGCTGCTCTCACCGCAGGCAGAGTCTCAGTGATTCACTCCATCTTGAACACTGCATAAGGAAGCCAAAACATAGAGGTAATTTACATGCTAAAGGATAGGTTTACTTTTTTTTAATGTATTTGTTGTTGCAGAATCTCACTACGCAGCTTGCACTCGTGGTGATACTCTTAACTTCCCCAGCCCTGGGATTACAGGCCTGAGCCACTATGCCTGGCCTCTGGCCAGCTCAGCTTGCCCTGGGGATGGGGCTGGCATGGTATGCGGTGCCGGGGATTGAACTGTGGTCCTGAGCTTGCCTAAGCAGGTGCTTTAGTCTGCTGACCTGTCTCACCAGCCTGTTGAAGCTTTATTTATAGTGATCTTCTCGGTTGGTGATGCTTACATGTTAGCTATATGCTGTAGACGTAAACTTAGGCAGTTCTACTAACAAGTGCCTCGGCTTGTGTTGGAAACTTTAGTTTGAAAAATAATTGTAGGTCTCAGTAAAAACTTAAAAATCGCTGTTGTGGTCCAGTCACTGGATCTGTTTTTTGAAAGCATTGTGGATGGCCCTGCATTATCTCCAAAAAGAAAACAGCCACCTGGTTTAATAAAATGTAGTGTTTTAGGTCCCACAGGACTCCTGCTGTTTGAAAGGGATTTATGTTTTTCAGAAGAGATTTGAAAAGGAGAACACGTTGGAATGCACAGTGCAGCTGGTTTTAGTCGTTTCCCTCCCTGGCCCTCATCGTGGGGCTTTTACGCTTTGTCGTCCCCTGATGAGGGATCCGTACGAAGGTCCTTTCTCCTCCTGAGAAGCAGCACCTGCTCAGAGAACCCCAGAGGTTCAGCAGTAATGGGGCTGTGGTGGGGTGTCTGAGACACTTTGGGGTCTGACGTTCCCAGTGTCACGCGGTGCCAGACAGGGTGCTTGTGGGGGCAGCCCGCAGCATTTCAAGGCTCCTGGAAACTTGGGGATCTCGGTCATGAGGTTTGGATCCCGGTGACTTTTGAATTGACTTCTTCCAGGGTATCTGAAGTGCAGTGCCGCTGCCCGGCAAGGCCCACGAGGACCATGGCCACTCAAGGTTTGTGCCTCCCGCTCCAGGCCCTGTGGGGCTCTGCCTCGCTGCTGGCACCCCAGCTGGCCCCGCTGTCCTCCCCCGCTGCCCATCCTCCCCGCTGCCTGTCCTCCCCCGCTGCCCTTCCGTCCTCCCCGCCGCCCGTCCTCTCCCACCACTGCATGTCAGGCTGTCCTGGGCTGCGTTTCCCGCCCACTTCTCCCTCTGGCTTGGTGGAATAGCAGGCAGGCCACTGGCGGGCATCCACCCGGCGCCTGGCCACGTGCCCTCCATGTGCCGCCAAGTAGTGCTGTATCCTCCTGCCACTCTGCCTCCTGGCTCTCTTCTAGATCTGACTTTCTTCCTAAAAATACTCACTGGGTCAGACCATTGGTCTTGTTATCTTAATTAAGGTCGCACTTTCAGTGTCCTAACGGAGTATGGTTTTGCTCTGTAGCCGACCTGATGGAGCTGGACATGGCCATGGAGCCAGACAGGAAGGCGGCTGTCAGTCACTGGCAGCAGCAGTCGTACCTGGACTCTGGGATCCACTCTGGAGCCACCACCACGGCCCCTTCTTTGAGTGGCAAAGGCAACCCCGAGGAGGAGGACGTGGACACCTCGCAGGTCCTGTACGAGTGGGAACAGGGCTTCTCACAGTCCTTCACGCAGGAGCAAGTAGCCGGTAAAGTATCTGTGCCTTGGCCAGTGTTGTAATCAGAGTGTGCAAGCCTGAAGCGGTGACTGTGGCAGTCACCCCAGCCAGCCCTGCTGCTGGGTGCTGAGTGCAGACTTCCCCTGCAGACATCGACGGCCAGTACGCCATGACACGCGCACAGCGGGTGCGGGCTGCCATGTTCCCCGAGACGCTGGATGAGGGCATGCAGATCCCATCCACGCAGTTTGACGCCGCACACCCCACCAACGTCCAGCGCCTGGCCGAGCCCTCCCAGATGCTGAAACATGCCGTGGTAAACCTGATTAACTACCAGGATGATGCGGAACTTGCCACGCGTGCCATCCCTGAACTCACAAAGCTGCTCAATGACGAGGACCAGGTAAGTGCGACAGGGCTGGCCCTTGGTCTGCGTAGAAGCACATCGGAAGGGACTAGCCCCAGACTGCCTGTGAAACTGCTGATGTCTGATTAACGTCACAGGTGGTGGTCAACAAGGCCGCGGTGATGGTGCACCAGCTCTCTAAGAAGGAGGCCTCCAGGCACGCCATCATGCGCTCTCCTCAAATGGTGTCTGCTATCGTGCGCACCATGCAGAACACGAGTGACGTGGAGACCGCGCGCTGTACCGCCGGGACCCTGCACAACCTCTCCCACCACCGTGAGGGCTTGCTGGCCATCTTCAAGTCCGGCGGCATTCCCGCGCTTGTGAAGATGCTGGGGTGAGAGGTCGTGGCGGGGCTGGCGGCCTGGAAGCGGAGCGCTGCTGAGACCTTCTCACGTGGCTTTTTCTCCTCCTCAGCTCCCCAGTGGATTCAGTGCTGTTCTACGCCATCACGACTCTTCACAACCTCTTACTACACCAAGAAGGAGCTAAGATGGCAGTGCGTCTAGCTGGCGGCCTACAGAAGATGGTGGCATTGCTCAACAAGACGAATGTCAAATTCTTGGCGATTACGACAGACTGCCTTCAGATTTTAGCTTATGGAAATCAGGAAAGCAAGGTAAAAGGACTGCCATGTGGTTTTCACGGCACATGGCGGACCCCGTGTCCTGCCGTGACCTGCATTCTGGCTCATGCAGTGCGCCTGCCTTGTGTGGCCCCAGGAGAGCGAGGCCAGCCAGCTCCATGTGTGAGGAGCACGGGCTGGTGCTGGAGCTGCAGCCCGCCAGCCTGCGCAGGGCTAGGTGCAGACGTGCCCTTGCCAGGGGCCCAAGGTGGGGAGGAGCACCGTGGGGAGCTTCTGGAATGGAAAACAGTAAAGGAGGAGGGTGGTTTGCTACTGTGGAGCCTCCAGGGTGGGCCAAGCAGGTGGCGCAGTCTTCATGGGGATACACTTACGGGGGGCGAGGTGAGCTGAGAGTCCTTCCTCGAGGATGCACAGGGCGAGGGCTGGGGTGAGTGAGGTATGCAGGGAAGGCGAGGACATCTCTTCACGGTAGCTCTGCCGAGTGGCGAGGAGTTTTGGCTTAAGTTCAGTAAATCAGCTGTGATACCGCCTCCATTACTGTTGCGTACCATCTTCCCCTTTGTCACCGTCAGCATGGGAAGAAGGCAGTGGGGCCAGAGTGGCCAGCTTCTTTGGAGACGCAGTCCAGTGGAACACTGCAGTCCCGTGTGAGAGAAGTGGTGATCAGGCTTTTTCTCGCACGTTAGCTCCAGGTCCATGACTAACAGTGCACGCCCCTCTCTCCAGCTGATTATTCTGGCCAGTGGTGGACCCCAGGCTTTAGTGAACATAATGAGGACCTATACTTACGAGAAACTACTGTGGACCACGAGCAGGGTGCTGAAGGTGCTATCTGTCTGCTCCAGTAACAAGCCGGCCATCGTGGAAGCTGGTGAGTGTGTGGCGTGGTGTGGCCTTATCTGCAGTGGAGTGGGAAAGGTGATGGTTTCACGTGGCCCGTCTAGTTCTCAGCCCCCAGCCAGAACGCAGTGTTAGCACAGGACGGTGCTGTTGGGGGATCATGGAGGCAGCCTTCGTCCATCAGAGACCATGCCAGGGTTACTCTGCTTTTTGCTGACAGACCTGGGAATATATAGGCAGATTTTAACAAAATACTGTTTGTGTGGTAAGGTGTTTTTCTAATTTCTAAGACAGTCGTGATTGTCTGGCGTTGTTCTTTTCGGCGAGTAGTCGGTTTAATGTGGAAAAGGGTTTTGTTCTGTTTCCTCGGGGTTATTTTTTCCCCATAGTTTTAATGAGGCTGCGTGTACATGGTAGTTGATACCGTGCACATGTCAGCACTGGGGCATCTGGCTACCTGCCGCCCCCCTTTTCTGGAGCGTCCCCTTGGACTCGAAAGCTGGGTGCAGGGCATGGGGTGCGGGGGATCCGCACTGGAGCCCGGGGTTGGTGGTGCACTGCTTTCCCGTGTGCTGGGCATTCGTTTGAGAGTCCATGGGCCAGGTAGGTAGGTCATGGGCCCAGCTGCTGGCAGTGGGGCGTCAGTGTGGGACAGTCTGGTGTGGCAAGGTTGGCACAGAACGAGAGGACAGTGTAGGTGACGCCAGAAATGCGTGCAGCGCTTCTCTGAAAGCACACAGTTCTCAGTTGGTCTGGCGTTGTGGGTTATTGTTAAACTAAAAGTACACAGTCCTCATGCAGGCAGGATTCGAGGGTCTGGTGTTTTTATGAAGATAAGTTATTCAGATGACAGTGTCTGTAGACAGCAGAAAGTACACTAGATGGAAGCCCAGGCGTTTTGATTTTAAGATGTCCCCAGGTTATTTTGCTATTGCTTTGCGTATTCTGAAAATACACTTCCTTTCCATTTGGGCATCAGAGGTGTAGGAGAAGGCAGCTCCTCACAGTCGAACGAGTGTCAGGGGAGGCTCGGCAGCTGCTGAGTCGTGGCGCGGCGTCCTGGTAGAGCAGTGCCTTGAAGGACCGACCTCCGAGGTGGCCCAGCCTCAAGGGAGGAACGCTAGGTTTTAGTAATACATTGCTAATGACAGATGCACAAGGCTTCTGAAAGCATCACGGAACAGTAATTCAGGGGCAAGAGCAGCCAGAAATGGCGTGAGGCAGGAAAGCGAGAGCTGGGGCCAAAGCCACGTGGGGAGTGGGCCTGCTGTGCATAGGAGCGAGTGGCACAGTGTGCAGGGGCAGGACCTAAAGGTCCCCAGGTCATGGGGCTCCGGTGAGGGCATCTGGAGGGGCTGGAGTTGTGTGCTTCTGAGGCAGAGTGGCTGTGCGGCCAAGTCTCTGGGCATTCTGAAGAGCACTGGTCACTGTCACTGTCGTAGAGAAGATGTCAAGGAGGAAGGAAGCTCCATTGGGCATATGTCGCAACTGCCGCAGGCAGATCCCAGTCAGTCGAGGAGCTGCAGCGGAGAGGCTTCTGGAGCGGTGACAGTGCTCCGTGGGGAGGCCGGGCTGTCTAACATACGGTGTGGCTTCAGTTTATTCACTTGGCGTTCGCTTGGCATCTGGCTCTCCTAACATCCTGGTGCATCTCCAGCTTAGAATAGGGTCTGGTCCTAAATACTTTCAAAATGAGTGAGTGGATACGAAAAAGTAATGGGGATTAGTGCCTGCAGGGGAGAGAAGGGGTGTGGAAGACTGCTCTGTGGGCAGGAAGATGTCACCAGTGAAGTGACTGGAAGGAAACCCGGCACCATGCTGGCGAGGAGAAGTCAGGACCTGCAGGAAGAGGAGGAGCTAGCCTTGGGGGGGGGGGTCTGCTCTCGGCCTCGGCCTCACGTACTCTTGGCTGTGTAGGTGGGATGCAGGCGTTGGGACTGCACCTGACAGACCCGAGCCAGCGTCTCGTCCAGAACTGTCTTTGGACATTGAGGAATCTCTCTGATGCTGCGACCAAGCAGGTAGAGTAGCAGGAGACGGGCTCGGGCCACCAAGAGACGGGCCCGGGCCACGTGCCTAGCGCCTGCTCCTCTCCCCACAGGAAGGCATGGAAGGTCTTCTGGGAACGCTGGTCCAGCTGCTGGGGTCCGATGACATCAACGTGGTCACCTGTGCCGCTGGAATCCTCTCCAACCTCACTTGTAATAACTACAAGAACAAGATGATGGTGTGCCAGGTGGGCGGCATAGAGGCCCTGGTGCGCACTGTCCTGCGCGCTGGGGACAGAGAGGACATCACTGAGCCAGCCATTTGTGCTCTGCGCCATCTAACCAGCCGACACCAGGAAGCAGAGATGGCCCAGAATGCTGTTCGCCTTCACTATGGCCTTCCAGTGGTGGTGAAACTCCTGCATCCGCCATCGCACTGGCCACTGATTAAGGTGAGTGGTCGGAACTGAAAACCAACAGCTCCCATGCTGTGGGGGCGTTGTGTTGAGGTAGGGGGTTAATCCCAGAGTAGGGGTCACTGGTACATGCATGGAGATTGGGCCGAGGGTGATCGTGTTGTGTATTCTCTCTTCAGGCTACGGTTGGATTGATTCGCAATCTTGCCCTCTGTCCAGCAAACCATGCGCCTCTGCGTGAGCAGGGGGCTATTCCACGCCTGGTCCAGCTGCTTGTGC